TCCCTTCCTTCCGTCCCTTCCTTCCGTCCCTTCCTTCCGTCCCTTCCTTCCTTCTCTGAAATCTGTGCAATCCAGACTGCAGTGATCAAGCAGCATTGGGCAAGATCATGAGCAGGTATCATTTAGGCCAGACAGCGACATGATCCCAGGGTGGGTTCTGATATGCAACGTAATATGTTTTTCTTGCAAGTGCTTGTAGAGGGTTTGTTTTGCTGCAAATCCATTGACAATGACGGAAGGCACACAAACTCTGAGCTGCAACGTGTATATATCGATTGCATGAACATGGAGAATGGATGAACTTTCAGAGACAGGTACAGATCATTTTTGAATGGTTCCAGTTTTTCTGAGCACCGGACACACTGGGTCGGGCTCAGGAATCACATCGCGCTCTTTGTCCTTCAGTGCCTCCCGTCGTGTCGTTCGCGTGGCCTTTGGGGGAGTGCTTGAGAAGTGCTCAGCGTTTCTGCGTGGCCTTTGGGGGTCACCGGGGTTGCTACTATATAGTAGCAAGAAGCTACGCACGGTGGAGGCCATCGCTAGCTAGTAACAAGAAGCTACGCACGACTACGCTAATGAATTCCATTGAACTCCAGACCACCTTCAGCGCGGTGTGGGCCAAACCGTGGGTCCATTCGTGGGAGGTACCGGACCTCGCCCCGGCAGATTCGATTCGGCTTTATGCAGCCGAACAGCCTTTTTAAGCCCGGCCACCTGGGGCGGGTCGACGGGTCATTGGGTCTCCGGGGTGGCCCACGGCCGGGCGCACACGACTGGACCGAAGTTGGATAGGCTTGTCGCACTTCGCCACCTTTTGAAGCATCCTCCCTAGCCCTTCCCGAGGTACTCATAATGTGTTCTTGGGTTATCTTGGGTTCCAAAGATATTCGGAGGGTGTCTTGCTACGGCACAATTTGGGAGGGTGGCATTGTATTTCTTTTGCTGCAATGGGATTGAGCTGACGCTTCTAGGACTCAGGGCGAGATTGTGGCCAATTTCCTTCTTTTCTATGGGCCTGTTACCTTAAAATGTCCTGTATTGCATGCATGTATTGAGTTTCTTGTTGATGGAGGTGCAGGCCAAGTTGAGCCAGAAAAAACAGGGGGGGTGATGTAAAGTAGTATTGTGGGATCCTTCGTTCAGAATTCCATGCACCGCCGCAGCTATTTCTGATGTTTTCTGTCTTTGTGGAATGTGTCATTTAGCTGTCGGACGACATCCAAAACTACATTGGAACGACCTCCTGAACTACGTACATCAATGTACATCATGTATTTGCTGCTGCTGCTCTTGCTCCTCTTCCTCCTCCTGCTCCTGCTGTTGCTCCTGCTGTTGCTCCTACTCCTCCTGCTGCTCCTGCTGCTCCTGCTCCTTCTGCTGCTCTTGCTCCTCTTGCTCCTCCTGCTCCTGCTGTTGCTCCTGCTCCTGCTGCTCCTGCTGCTCCTGCTCCTTTTGCTGCTCCTGCTCCTCCTGCTGCTCCTGCTGCTGCTCCTGCTGCTGCTGGTGCTGCTCCTGCTGCTGCTGCTGGTGGTGCTGCTGCTGCTCCTGCTGCTGCTGCTGCTCGCTTTCGATGGACAGTATTTAGCCAGATTTCTCGGCGAAAAAGCGACCTGAACGACATCCGCATTTCAGTCAGAATGACCACTACTACTACTACTACAACTACTACAACTACTCCTACTACTACTACTACCACCACTACCACTACCACTACCACTACCACTGCGACTACTACGACTTCTGCTACCACTACCACTACGACTAGGACGACGACGACTACTACTACTACT